AAGGTCTTTTCCAACCTAAAGGATTCTATGATTCTATGACTCCCTCAATTTTTCTGGAGTGGTACAGTGCATGGGATTATCTGTGTCTAACACAGTGGAGCCTGGTACTTGGATGAACAAGCGTTCGCGCTGTGCTTCTGCTTTGTTGGCACAGAGACTGCTGTGTCTGTACGGACCTGGGGACTCCACACTCTGCAGAGAAGCCTGCTTGGGAGAGGGGCTGGCTCCTGTAGCCAGATGTACGTGAGTGTGCAACTTGTTTCTCTTTTTTCTTCCCAGCCATGTCTCAAGCTGTGCAGACGAATGGGACACAACCTTTAAGCAAAACATGGGAGCTCAGTTTGTACGAATTGCAAAGAACGCCTCAGGTAATATGTGTTAAAGAGCTGGCCTTTATGGCAAGGCCTTTTTTTATACTTTCAGAACATGAAGCTTGATGTTTAAGATTTCCCTTTAGGATTGTTAAATGCCTATTTTAAATTATAGTATATGTTAAAAAAAATTTCCCAAAACCGAATCTGTCTTATAATATTAGAAAAATAAACCCATGTTTGATCTTTGTTTCTTTTTTTCTTTCCTTTAGCAGTATGTGTGTGTGTTTGATGTGGTTGTGTATATGTCTTGTTTTGTCTTTTTACTTTGTTTCTCTTTAAAAGAATAGTTAAAACATGCAATCTCTGTGAGGAAGTTACTAAATTCCATTAAAGAACTTTCACTTTATTTTACGCTAGGAAGCAATCACTGATGGCTTGGAAATAGTGGTGTCACCCAGGAGCCTGCACAGTGAACTGATGTGTCCCATCTGTTTGGATATGTTAAAAAACACCATGACGACAAAAGAATGTTTGCATCGCTTCTGTGCTGACTGTATCATTACAGCACTCAGGAGTGGGTATGTAAATATTATTACAGGGAAAAGGGATTTCACTTAAGATGAAAATGTGATCAAGGAAATCCTTTAAGTCCTGGGTGTTGATGTTGATGTGGAACAGTTACGTGCCTGCGCACTGCAAGTTTCTGAATGTGTAGCACATCTTTCATATTTCATTCTTGTCTGTTCAGCCATCTGTGGCAGACCAGATCTGGTTTTTTCCTCATATGAAAAATCATCCCATAACTTTTTCTTGCAAGGAGTTGAAAACCTCCTTTCTCTTCCTTTTTTTTTTTCTTTTTCTTTTTTTTTTGAAATCCAGTAACAGTACGCCAAAAATATACTACATTACTTACAAAAATGAGTCTTATTTCCCTTATTCTTCCTTTTCCTAATAATAAATTGCAAATTTTGTGGCCTTTCAGCAGTAGTCCTGCTTCCAAGCTTCACTACTGAAACAACCTATGCTAAAATACAAATAATTTTTCTTGTATTCTTAGGTTACAAGTTCATATTCTCCTAAAAGCGATAGAATTCTGAGGTAACCAACAGCAATTAAGTCAATGATGTATCTATTTCTGATAATGGCAATTACCTGTATTCAGAAGTCACACTTAATCTGCTGTGCCTGTGTACATTCTGATGAGTAATTAGCAAAAATACATTAGAGGGAAACAAGAAAACCATCAGGAGTAGACACGCCAGTGTTACAGCTATTGAGGCCTCTTCCTTTTACAGGAAAAAAATTGTGTGAACCTGACATTTTAGTTAAATGAGAACAAAATGGTAGGAAGGACAAGACTGTTTTAGTTTTCCCAGTAATTAGTGCTTGAACTATAGAATAGGTTCCTTAATCTCTGTTTTGTCCTGTGAGTGCTAGGAAGACTATGCCTTAATATAATTCCCCCTAGCCATGCATTTTTTTTCTAGGTGAAAATCTATCCAGAGGGTAAGGGAAGAACTGTTTTGCAGAGTGTAACTTTGGAACTCTTCAGTCTAAATACAGTTTGCTCAAACATACTTTAAAAAAAAAAGAAAAAATGAAGCAGGGAGATACATGTTTGGGGTTTTTGTTTAAATATCTGGAACTACCTGATCTGTCAAAAGATAGAAGCCACATTCCAGGTTTACTTATAAATATTGAATCTTGGTGAGTACTTTGACTAAGAATGGCAGCATTAGGGCAGACTTCTGTTATTGTCAGAGAGTTAGTATTGTTTTCTCCCTTCTTGTTCATGCCCAGCAACAAAGAATGTCCCACGTGCCGTAAAAAGCTAGTTTCAAAAAGATCACTGAGACCAGATCCCAATTTTGATGCTCTCATCAGTAAAATTTATCCAAGCCGAGATGAATATGAAGCTCATCAGGAGAGAGTGCTAGCAAGAATCAGCAAGCATAATAACCAGCAAGCTTTAAGTCACAGCATTGAGGAAGGTTTAAAGATTCAGGCTATGAACAGGTATGTAATCCATGTAATTTGTCCACATGTAATGGTGTTTGCCTAAACACGAAAAATACATTGTCTGTCCTCACTCCCTGTATAGCTTGAGATGCCTCTTCTCTCCTCTGAAGTCTGCCAAAATAATTTTTAGCCTTTGGCAAAATAATTTTTAACCTTTTGTCTACTAATAGTAACCTTTGTATCATTCCCTGCAACTTCTGTGGCAGCCTGATGCAGACAGCAGACTTCAGCTTAGCTTTACCAAATTATGGCTATCCTGTCTTGGATAATAAACTGTAACACAGTGAATCCTGTACCAACATATTACCATTACATGCAGATAAATGCACATAATGCTAGAACTTAGGTTTTAATTGCGACTTAATTCATAAGGCTGGAATATATGGTGTTTACACAGTATTGAAATTCTGGGTATGCATTTAAACCTAAGAGGGCCAGCTGGGAAAGAGGCCCCAAACTTTATGTTGTGGTGAAGCATGATATGATTTATATTTTTAATCACACTTGGATTTATATTTAGATTAAAATAATGGTCTGAAATTGCCTGAAAAATAAAAATAACTGCATGGAGTTAAAAATTATCTCAAAGGTGTTTGAGGAATAGGAAAAAATCCCTAGTCTTGTCTATGAGTATCTTTTGATCAGAAATAATTCTTCTTTTTTTTTTTTTTAAATTTTAAATATCTCTGAAACAACTAGTGCATGTGTGTGCATATGTCTAACTTCTGGCATGACTGAGACTGGGAGAGGGAGGAGTTGTATGAGCATTGTGGGCCTGTACAGTGGGTGAATTCTGAATGTGGATTAGCATTTATTTCTACCTATTTCTGATCAGGCTACAGAGGGGCAAGAAACAACAGATTGAGAATGGCAGTGGAGCAGAAGATAATGGTGACAGTTCACACTGTAGCAATGCCTCAACACACAGCAATCAGGAAGCGGGGCCTAGTAATAAGAGGACCAAAACATCGGATGATTCTGGGCTAGAACTGGACAATAACAACACAACTGTGGCAATAGACCCCGTAATGGATGGTGCTAGTGAAATCGAATTAGTCTTCAGGCCTCATCCAACCCTCATGGAGAACGACGACAGTGCGCAGACAAGGTAAATGTCTTCTGTTCTTCTTGTATTCTGCTGTTATTTTCTGCTGCTTTTGTTTTCTGTCACTCCTTGGGGCTTTCTAAAATCAATTTACTTTGGTCATACCACATCTTGTTTAACCGTACGCACTCTTTCCCTCTTTCCGTTGCAAGTCAGGTAGATGGTATTGCTCAACTAGTATCAAGAATACAGTAACAATCTGTTTTAAGCCTTTGATCACAAATAAAGATGGTTTTAAGCGTTTCTAGCATTGCAGTTCACAGTAGGTACTAGGATGATCATATAATATCAGCCCCTTTCTACTTATTATAAGATTCTTTAGGAATAAAAAAACCTTGCATAAGCATCAGCAGTTTTTGGAGCAGCTTTGTGTCAGTGGGATTTGTAGGCTGGAAGCTTTTCCTGGCATTTTTTTCATGATCCACTCCAAGGACAGACTGCAAATTTTGGATCGCAGCAATGAGCAGTCTCTTGGAGTTTCCTTAGACCTCACCCTGACTTTCTCTCCCGATGAGACATCCCTCTGTTTTGCTTATAAATATATTTTAAGTTTCAGCCAGCTTTTCTTTTTGTTTTGGAATTGCAAGGGAGGTCGGAGGGTTGTTCTGAAAGGCAAAGAAAAAGCTAAGCTTCTCGGAGAGGCCTCTGCGGCATTTGTGTCAGCCTTTAATTCTTGCATGAAGAATTAAAGTGAGAACAGATAGCAAGATAGTAAGGAAGAATAACTTTAACGAGGTGCAGAGAGTGTCACATGTGTGGCTTTCGCACCTTATGGCTTTCTGTCCAGGCACTTCAGACTGTATCTGTGCTCAGAAGACTTCAGCAGTCATGAGTAGTTCTCGAAACCCTTTGACAACCTGTTATTAGGTTTTTCATTTCGAGCAGATGACAGGGCAGTGCTGTCTTCTCTCTATAAAGAGCAGGAGGGCCTGTGAAAGAAGTGTCAAAAAGATATAAGGGCACTTTGGAACAGTATAATTTGGTAAGCTGCTTGCATGTCTTGGGTGAAAGCAGTTAATATTCTTGCTTGTGAACTGTCTTTAAAGGCCTTTTCACACTTGGTGCTTAATACTTGGGGGTGTTCCAGATGTCTTTTTCCCACAACTGCAACACAAACATCTTTGATTATCTTTGTGGTTGTCACAGATACATCAAGACCTCAGGCAATGCCACTGTTGATCACTTGTCCAAGTACCTAGCTGTGAGATTGGCTTTGGAGGAGCTTCGTAGCAAAGGAGAATCAAACCAGATGAACCTTGACACGGCCAGTGAGAAGCAATATACCATTTACATTGCTACTGCCAATGGGCAGTTCACTGTAAGTAGAACTTCTGTCTAAGAGTAAAACTGAGCATTGATACATCTTTGATACAGATTTGATTAAAATCCACTCAGCTGGACTTCTCCTGAGTTGGCTTAAGGATAAAATTCATAGCACCAGGTTGTTTATTTAGAAGCAGATCAATTCCTTTGTGGGAAAACGTATGCAGCAAAAGCTTGGTTAGTAGAAAAGGAGGCATATAAATTACTTGGGAAAAATCCAGTGATGCTAGCAATTACTAGCTGACTTATGCCATTATTTTACAGTTAAAATTGAAGAGGAAAAATATTACTTCATCTGAGAATCTTGTTTCAAGAGCAGATAGCTCTAGCACCAGGAAACGTCTGTTGTAAGGTGGCGTTTCTCTACTTCCATGTAGGCTTCTAATATTCTGCTATGAAACAGCTGTGAGTACGCTTAGGGAAGAATCCCTCCTCTCATCTCTGAAGTTGCTGACTTCAGAATATACAGATACAACAACAAGGCAATATTGCAATTAGATTGAACTCTGAGTCTGGTCTTATGCTTAGGCATTTATCTGAATAAAGTAAGTCTTCTGGTTAAGATATGGGCAGATGCTTTGCAATAAAAGTCTATTTCAAACAGCTTTCAAACATGGCTACTGATTGTCCCTTAGACAAAAGCAGAGATGCTTCTTAGCTAGTATCTTGTTCCACATTATCAGTGACTTCTTTAAGTCAGCACATTCCTCTGACTTAAGTAGTTGTCTGTTGCTACAGTACTACCGGCACAAGCCATCAGATTTCACTTCTGTTTTGGTGTTCTCTTCTAGGTATTAAATGGGTCATTTTCCTTGGAACTGGTCAGTGAGAAGTACTGGAAAGTGAACAAACCCATGGAACTGTACTATGCGCCAACAAAGGAACATAAATAAGCTGTGCTGGAAAACCGAGATGGGACTAACTCTTTTTATAGCTATGACTTCTTTAATATTAAAAGAAGGCACCACCATTATCTTCGTGGACAATACACGTGATGCCTTCGGGCTCTCTCAGTATACTTATTAATGTGATTAGACAGTATTCTGGGCTGTATTTAATTTAGTCTTTGTTCCAGGTTTTTGGTTTTTCCCTAGGAGACTAAATGACCTTCTCCAATGCATTCCAGTGTTTGACATGCTTTTTTGTTCCTAATGCATGATAACTGAACGAGTGTTCCAGTTTGGAATGTCTTAATTTTGTCCAGGTAAATCTGGATTTCTAATACATTTGACACAGTTATAGTAGCCTCTGTGAAGTATTGACCATTGGATAGCTAAGTAAGTCTATTCAATAATAACATATGCCAAGGAATGTGTTAAATGTTGTAATTTGCTAATGGTTATCCATATAAAAGATTGTTAGAGAATTGGTTTCTGATAGTCTTGCAGCTAGAGGTAATCTGATTGCCTAGAAAAGATTTAGTAGTCATTTTCTTGTGAACAAATAGAGCTGTAGTGAGAAAACTGACACTTTAAAGCCTTGCTGTTTACTGGGCTTAATACTTCAGTGCAAGGTGATTCATGAGATTGGTTTGCTTTTTAACAAATTCAGTCAAAAAAAAACCCAAACAACCCAAGCCCATAACTCTTCCCCATGTAGAACATGCCAATCTTGATGCACATTGCAGCTTCACGTTTGGCCCCCGTTGCGGCATTATCCTGTCCTCAGAAGCTTAATTGAACAAAATACTCTGGAAGTTTTACAGCCCTACTCTGTTCCCTGTAATAACAGATTTTTATTGTGAATGTATCAGAACTTTCTGCAAAGAACTGTCTTGAAAAGTTGGGGTTTTTTTTATTTTTAAAGCAAGTCCCCAAAATTCCAGCACACAGACGTAATGCAACATTGAAAAGGAATTTGTGCCGCCCCAACTGTGAGCTTATCCAGGCTTCAGTTTGAGTAGGGAGGACTCAACCATAAGCTGCTTGAAGATTTTTTTTTTTTTTTTTTTAACCTTTCCCCTTTCCTTTGCCATAGCTTTAACAAATGTGGCTTAGCACTTTGGAAGACAATTTTAGTACTTGACAAAGTTTACCATTTAGTGTCTTAAATTTAGGTTCACGTTTCAAAACTTGGCAGCAGGCTGTTGTGTAAAGTCCAGTAGCTACTGTTCATTTGCATGTTAAACTCCTCTTCCCTCGCTCTGGACCTTGCTGTCACTTCATGGGAGTTGCTTTACCTATTAGCATTCTGTCTTAAGGCAAATGATGTTACTGTGAGATTCCCTTTGCTGTAAGACTTGCTGATGAAGCTTTCACCTCTTTGCACCTGAAGCTAGAAGCAAAGAAAGTTGCAATGATAGGTGAAAAGTAATATACTTTAAACCATACGGTATTGCTCCTCCTTTGTCTTGCCCATAGTTAGACTGTTTTTGGCATGTGGTACGTAAGTATTCAGATGCTCGGGGATTCTCTTGGGAAGTACGTACCCTTCCATCGCTTCTGTCTTTCAAGCCTAGCACTTGTTAATATGTGTCCATTCCGACTGCTGTTTCAGATCAGTTTTATTCCAATGTGAAAACTGCACAGGCTTCTCTGAGTAACTAAATTATTTTCTCTTACTGGAAAGACTTGTTTTTTTGTGACATGAAACAGAAGTTTTCAGGTCCCAAAACACAGAGGGGGCAGTTTTTAAGGAAATGTGTTATTCATGACTTTCTGGTGAAATGTTGCATTGTATAGACTAGTAGTGCATGTCCACTAAATATAATCTGGGGGGTGGGGGAAGCGGTGATTTTAAATGCTTTAAAATTTACGGGGAAACTTCTAGATTAGTTGCAGCATACCTTCGAATTGTGATAGCTAAGGTAATGTCCAGTCCCTTAAGCAAGAGAGGTGTTTGTGAAGCTGAGCAGTCTGTCTAGGAGCTGTCTGTCACTTTGTCCCCAGTTCTTTAAAAAGCGTGGGAGAATGTGAAGCTTTTATTTTCATGTTGTAGTGAATTTGCTGAATATTTATGTTCTTTAAATATTATATATATAAAATGTAGTTGTTTGATTAAACCATTGATTGCACTGTGACTCTTTAGTGCTATAAACTATTTTATTTTCAAAATGACTTTACTCTTCCACCTTTTAAAGCCATGTTGTTTTTTAAGTACATAATGTGTGTTGGGTACGGGTAAGGCTAATAACTCTAATATCCAACTAAAGTCACACTGAAATTCGCAAATTGACAATAAAAGCAAAAATGTTACCAACAACCTATTGGAAATTCCAGTGCTGCTTCCTCTTATAATTCATAGAAAACCCCTTTGAATAGTTTGCGTTTGGTTGGTTGGTAGTGCTGCGATGTTTGTGGTTGTCCAGAGGGAACGGTGAGTAGGTGCAGCTGACCTCCACTGGTGTTGATCCAAGTGGAGTCTGGCCCTGAGCACTGTTACAGTCCATTGAAACCAACTGAACTCCTGCATGTGTTACATGCCTTGAATGAGAAACAGAGGCACGTAGAAGATAGCAGCTCTTCCAGTGACCTGTCAGAGGTGCTACTGTTCTAATTGGATCCTATAGCCTGAGAAATGGGACGAAGGATTTTCACAGCACTTGGGTTAAACCCAGCAACTTTGGTTGCATTTAATTGTATATTAAGCAACTTCAACAGAAAACAGTGTAGGATAACTGTAAAGAATCACTTGAGTTGAAGTACGTTATTAAAAAAAAGTGATGTTCTGTTCCTTTCTTTGTTTTATCTCTACAGTTATTACAACTTCTAACCAAAAGGATGCACCTTCGGTGAACACAAGCATTCCCTCCTAGAGTAGGGTTTCTTGAGATGTACTGAACTTAAGCTCTTCTTGCTGAAGGAGGTTCCTTTCTGGCTGTACTCCTGCTGCTTGCTGTGCTGACACTGATTTTCAGAGCCTTCTTTGAACAGCTTTAACTCCCTTAAAGCTTCCCTCAATTACAGCTAAACAGAAAACACCCAGAGAGCTCATGTGCCCATGGGCAGCTACTCTCTGCTGTATGTAGTGGGTAGGTGGACACGTACCTCAGCTAAAAAATATTAGAGGTGCCACTGTACTACCTGTACTGGTAACTAGATCATATCCTAAACCTTACTTTTCCATCATCCTCTGGTGTTTGTCCTCCAGCACACCAATCAGCTGATAATCTAATACTGATTTCAGTATCCTAATGGTTCCAGCAGTTAGTTAAATCAGTTCTGATTTTCTGTTCAGCACAAGCCACTTGCAGTAACACCTTGATATGATAAAGATTTGTTGCATGTTGAAGGTCTGTCATTAGTGATAGTGGCAAAGTACTACACCAGGGATCAGCTCAGGCCTGGTGTTACAACATCGGCCGGCTCTAAGAATTTAAAGAGACTCAGCAGTAACCTGCATTATTCTAATTCATTTACTATTATATTTACTACTGTAATAGCCAGCTGTGGCAATATGGATTACCCAAGTTGATCAAAACTGCTTTGGGTCGTGCTGTTGTGCGCAGAGCGCTCTGCACTGCTGTGCCACTGGTGACTTGTTTTGAGACACAGCCAAGCAGACTGCTGTGTTCCCCAAACCCTGTTTCCATACAGGACAATGTACTAGTCATACGTTCTAAGAGAAGCAAGAAATAACAAGGAGAAGCCGCCAAACAATAGCCTTGAGCCAACACTAATTTTCTGTTAACTCATTATTGCAGGACTGACCCTACCTGATGAACTGAGACAACTATTGAACAGAAAGAATTCTCGCAGGCCTGAGTTACAAACACCCCTTCTGCTGGTCACTTACAAGAGGCAAAACTCCTTGTCCCAGATTATAGTGGCTGCTGCCCATCTGACAGAGGAAAAAAGCCCAAACTGTATATGGACAAGTCTAAACTTCACTTTCTCTGCCCCTCCTTGTGCACAGCTCCAACCACCAAGGAATAGTTGCTTTGACTTGTAAAAGATGCACAATACCTTCCGTTACTTAGGAGGAGCTGTAAAAGTAATCAAAAATAATTTCCCACAACAGGCTTCAGTTAAACTTTCTTTTTAGCCTACTTTATTGTAATTGGAACACTCTCTTTTGCTCCAGTTAACCGACTTAGTATGACTGATTCTATCCTGCTTACGTTAACACTGAAGTCAACAGTGTGTTATCTGCAAGCAAAGCCTTCCAGCAGTCTCTCCACTTAAAAAACCTCCCCAAAAACCTTAGTTCAGAACAACTAGGGAACACTAACTTTTCTTTCTCCTTGCATTTATCTTTCCAACTTGATCCCAATTTATCTTTGGAAAGGAAATTTTTGAAGGAAACTTAGTTTATTGCTGTATCTCTGTTGAAGTGCAATCTGTTATCCTTTTGGTGTGGTGGTTTGTTTCATGGTTTGGTTTTTTTTTTTTTTAAATTAGGACAGAATGAAAATAACTCATTACCAAAGCAGTCCTGAATTTAGAATGGTATAAGAGGCAGTAACTTAATTCTGGCTTGATGGGAGCTTAGGAAGTTTTGCATAATCAGGAGTGTATCAGTCATATTACTCTTGGTTAGCGCTCAATGAGAGAAGCAATACTCTTACTGTGAAGTTTCAGAGATGGATAAGTAAGAATAATAACCTCTTATATTCTACTCTTAGATCAAGCTAACACTAGGGGCCAGGTTGAACACCAAACCTGGGAAAAACTGGAACAACTAGTTCAATTGTGATTGTTGTTCCCAGTTCAAGTGACACGTATGGAGGTATCTGAACAAAGTTTGGGGGAAAGAAAGGACAAAGTCAAGCTTATTTGGCTGGAATGCTGCCATATATTTAAGGAAACCAGAACTGACCACCAACACACAGTATCTTTGCTCATTCACAGAAGAGGTCTTTTTAAACAGCTGAGATGATTGTATCGACAAATTCATAGCAAAACTTCACCCAGAACTTCAACTCGTAGTGCCTTGTCACTGTACCTTTTTGCAGTATACAGCCAAATGTAATCTCTGAACAAACTACCTAGGGTGACTAACACAATTCACTAAAGTTTGGTTATAAACTGAAGTTTCAGTAACAGTCTTGGAACCCTTCCTTTTTGTTCTCACTTGTGTTAGGTCCTTGCTTGTAGGCAGAACTATGAAAACAGAAC